TTTTTTGCTGAGTCGTGAGGTCGATGCTTACGTGGCCGATTATGTAGGAAGGAGAATTCAAACCTGGGTCTTTGGCATTCAAAAGAGAAAATGAGCCACTTGATTTAACACATCTCGTGTTAAATATTTGATGTCACTTTTATATATATATAATTCAATTTATACTATTTTTAATTATAAAACTTACACATAATTTATTTATTAAATATTTATTGATTACGAAATAAAAATCAGTAAACTAAATAAATATGTATTTAATTGTGAAACTAACTGTTACATTTTATATTAATTATGTATAATAATTTTTTTAATATTTTATCATATAATAATTATTATTAGTATTTACCAATTATAAATTACATAAAAGGAGCATGAAAATTATTTTTTAAAAAAATATATGTTATTTTTATGTTTATATCATTAAACAATTTTTAGATAATTTAAAATCGCATGATCTTCGCTATAATAATAGTAATTTAATATTTTATCAACTAATTAATTGGTCACTACCCATTAAATTTGTAAAGCTACATTATTCATTATGCTTTATGAAATTTATACAACTAATAAAATGAAATTAAAATAATTTATAATTATATTGTTCATGTTTACTAATTATTAAATTTACTAAATGTGATATTCCGGTTATATAACTTATTATTTTAAATATAACAATATTTATATGACTAATAATATAAATAATAACAATATTTATATGACTAATAATATTTTACTTAAATATGCGCATATGAGCACAAGATTATTACTAATTTACTAGTAACATAAAAGAGGTAAGAAAAAGTTATTTGAAAAATAATAAAGATTGTTGGACATGACATTAGTTAAGCTCCTCATAATTATAATATAAGTATATTAAGCTAAAGTTGAGAGTTATTGTTGGGCCATTCCCACTATTAAATACTATTAGTACAGATCCCGTGGGATGCACGGGGTGCACAAAATTAAGGTTATTTATCAAGTTTTATAATTATATAAATGAATAAAGAAAAATGTACATGATATATATAGTACGCGACCTGTAATAGGCCAAAATGTGAACACGAGTGATGCACGGGGTGCACAATTTTAAGGTCATTTATTAGTACGGAGTCCGTGCGATGCACGGGGTGCACAATTTTCTAGTATGTGTAATACAAATACATACCGTATGCACGGGACAGAAGCACTAAATGAGTTATTTCCACATAGCCTGCCGGTTAAGTAGCTCCTGAACACGGGTGCACAATTTGTAGTACGTAAGATAAAATCAGAACAGATTTACATACAATTAGATAATAAATTAGATAATAAATAAAGCCTTTTTATTTTAATAAAGATTCTAAGTACTTTTTTTTACTTATCGGATGTTATGGGATTTTTTTTGTTAAACCGATTTTATCGGATATGATACAAATACAATTAGAGGATTACACAAAATCATAACAGATTTCTATACAATTAGATAATAAGAATGAATTAGATAAGGAAAAAAAGAAATTAGATTAAGAATTTTGAATCTACCTTTTTTAATATAGATAGACTTTACGAACAAATTTTGACTTCACCGATTTTATAAGATTTGTTTTGACAAAATCAAAGATGAATACTGAAGACTGTTTCTATTAACATTTACAATGTGTATTTAATGTTTTTTTTTTGGCAAAATATTCTTTTTAAGTGTGATATATAAATATTAAAAATACTTAAAATATTTTATAACATCTATAAAAGCATCTAAAATATTCTATATTATTCACAAATAATGTTTGAAGCTACCTAAATTTTTCTAAACTACCCGTAAGGAAAATATGTCTAAAAATTCTTCATTTAACCTTCATATATGTATATATAGAGAGAGAGAGAGAGAGCAAATGTGTAAAAAAAAAATTATACAAATAATATTTAAAAGTATCTAAAATATTAGTAATGAGACAGGTGAAATTTACATTTTAAAAAAATCTATATAGATAATGGATTTATATTAGTAATTAGACTTTTATTTATACGATAGATGAGGGATGTGATTTTTTTTACTCGTGGAGATGAAATTTTATAAGCTGGGTTATGAAATTTTCTTAAACTCGTCCATGCGATGAGTTTTTTAAGGGTATATAGATTTAAAATTGTAAAAAAAAAAACTTTCATAAATCATTTGATTTGGTATTTTCGGAGAGTTCATTAATTTAAAAGTGTAAAATAAATAAATAAAAAAAGTACAACTGAAAAAGTTACAACCAATTGTATGGAGAATTAAACTAAATCCAATTTTGTAGGATGCATTAAATATTGATTAAATTTTATATGTAAAATAAAATAAAAAAATAACTGGAATAGTTGTAAGTGTTGCAATATTTTATATTTAAAAAAAATAAAAAATCTTCATTTACGTATTGCATACCTACATTTTAGGAACTACATAGATATTCCTAAATTAATATTGCATACCCAATATTTTAGGAACTAATTAAATGCTAATTTGATTTGCATACCAAAAATATTAGATGCATTAATTAAATGATTGATAAAAATAGCAAATCATTAATTAGGATTGACTATTCTACATACTATATTTAATAAATAATACCCCTTTAATATAAGTATAGATATCATTATAGTTTTTACTAGTTTGTGTATAGTGAGTTGGTCCCATAAGGTATGGGTAGGTAGCTTTCTTGGCCCTTAATACGTGTCCATTTCAATATACTTTCACGCTACATCGCAACAAACCTCAATACATAATAGCAACCAACCACCATATTGCACAAATTATTTATTGTCGCTATTACATTTCATGTATATATCAACCTATCTCTACCTGCAAAACCAACCAAGTTGCAAAAATTTCCAACATCGGAGACTGCGTCAATAAATATTACAATAAGTCCCAATTTACACATCAGAAATTCTTTCAGCTCCACCCAGTCTCCGTTTAACGGTAAAGATTACCTTTGTTGCCTCCTCCCTTTTNTTTTTTTTTTTTTTTATAAATATTTTGATGCAATTTCGTGATGTAAAATTCTGAATTTATCTTCGTACTTGAGTGTGTGGATCTTGAATTTATTTGATTTTTTGAGAAATCTTGAATCTGATCTGAGAGTAGGGATCTGGACTCAATTTTGTATCCATATGTGAAATCAGGTTCAGAAAAAAATGGCGAGGAAGAAGATCAGGGAGTACGATTCCAAGAGATTGTTGAAGGAGCATTTCAAGAGAATGTCTGGGTCTGAGTTGGAAATCAAATCTGCTCAAGTGAGCGCATCTTTTTCTTTTTAACTTATAGGTTGATCCGTGGAATTTACTTTAGAACTGTAGCTCAGCTCTTCTGCACGTCCTTTTTTTTTTTTAATTATTATTATTATTATCTTCTTTTATCCTCTCAAGAAATCTGATTCTAGTTAGGTAGTTGTTGTGAAAAGATGAAAGCTGAAAAGAAAATTAGGGTAATCTGTTTTCAGGAAACATAAAGATAATTATTGGTATGTCTTGTGGGCTTGGTTGCTTAAATCCTTTTTGCATATTTACTACAGTAGATAAATGTGAAGAGAGGTTTCTGCTTTGAGTTATCCCAAAAAGATGCAAGAATGGGCTTGCATTTTCTCCTATGGAGTAAAGTATCTGACAAAATCATTGGTTCAGTATAGAATTAGTACAGTTGTATTGAAGAAGTTATATGCATAAGCTCGTCTTCTTCTAAACATATTTGATTGAACATATCTGTTTATAGAATTCCAACATATAGCAAACCTAGGTAGCAATTCTGCTTCAACCCATTTCACACACCTGTTTCAGATTTTTTTTTTTTTTTTTTTTTTTTTNAAGGCTCAACAATCTTGAAATAGCAGTCATGCTCTGGGTGCCGATTAACTAAAGCTGTCACGTTATTAAAGTTTCAAGTCCAGCTCAATAACCAAATAATATTGCTCATTATGGTTTTAGGTAACTGAGTCTACTAATTTCGAGGAGCTAGTGGATAAGGAAGTATGGATATCGTCAACAAAGCTAGTTGTGAAGCCAGATATGCTATTCGGGAAGCGTGGGAAAAGTGGTCTGGTTGCTTTGAACCTAGATTTGGCTGGAGTTGCTTCGTTTGTCAAAGATCGACTTGGCAAAGAGGTATCTTTTGCTATTATCTCTTACCAAGTTATATATCCTGTTTGACATGTTTGAGTGTTTTAAACAGGTGGAAATGGGGGGATGCAAAGGACCTATTACGACCTTTATAGTCGAACCATTTGTTCCACACGATGAGGAATATTATCTCAACATTGTTTCCGAGAGGCTAGGTTGTAGCATTAGCTTCTCGGAATGCGGAGGAATTGAAATTGAAGAGAACTGGGACAAGGTGCTGTGGATCATTTACTTCATTTGCTTTCCTTATCTTCACAATATGTATTTCAGCTGAGAAAATGGGATGATTACATAGCTACCCGAGTTTTTTACTAAATACAATCAAACCCGATTACATTTTGAGAGATCGTTCGATGTTTTTTGTTGTTATGCTAGACCTCAGAGATTGTTTTTCCTAATTAACTCCCAAAATAAATTTTTCATTTATGTATTTAGTTTATATGTTTTCCTGAAATCTTAATGAAGCTATTGTGTCCTTTCACTGTTTCTAGGTGAAAACTGTATTTGTCCCTACAGGTGCATCTTTGACATCTGAGCTATGTGCTCCACTTGTGGCAACGCTTCCCTTGGAGGTTATATATGTTGTTAATATAGCACAATGT